GTCAAAAAAAAAAAAAAAAAAAGCCCAAATAGTTGCAGCCCAGGCTTCTCGTCAGGGGTGAAATGCTCTAAGGTCTGCTACCAGTTCGCTTCGTGCGCATGTGCGCCAAACAGGCACTTGCGCACCGCAGGCGCTAAGAAGCCTTTAGTTTGCAAAGTAGAAGAAGCAAGAGGGGGGGACAGCTGTGCGATTTGGATTTGCTACAAAGCAGGATTTCCTGCTTTCTGGTGAATAGAAATTACGTGGCACAGCTGACTGTTGCACAGCTGATCGTTGGAACTTTTTAAAAAACTTTTTTTAAACTTTTTTTTACTACCGGTTCCCCTGAACCAATAGTAAAAAAAATGCTGTAAAATGTTTTTTTTTAAACGATCGGCTGTGCGACACACAGCTGTGCTGCCTGATCCTCAGAACTTTTTTTTACTTTTTAATGCATTTTAAATTAAAAATATGCTTTTAAAAAGTTTTTTTCAAGTTCCAACGGTCAGCTGTGCCGCGCAATTTCTAGTGAATACAAATTGTGCAGCACAGCTGATTGTCACACAAGACGCTGAGCTTGTTGATCAGAAAGGTTGGCAGTTCGAATCCCTAGTATAGGTCTCCTGTGTGAGCAGGGGGTTTGACTAGATGACCTCCAAGGTCCCTTCCAACTCTGTTACTGTTAATAGCTGACTACTGGTTTGCCCAAACCGGTAGCATTTTTTTTTACTACTGGTTCGCGCAAACCGGTAGCATTTTTTACCTCTGGTTCAGGAGAACTGGCCCAAGCCAATAGCATTTCACCCTTGCTTCTCTTCCAGGCCTGGTCGTGGCGCTGCCATTGACTGTCACTGTTCAGGGTAGCTCAGATGCGTGGGGAGATAAAGATTTGTTTCTCTTTTGTTCAGAGGGGGTGGTGGATGTGATATACCAGTAGAGTCAAGTTAGACATTTTCCAAATATTCGAGAGGCCGAGATCGAAAAAAGTTTGCCATCACCGGCACAGCAGGAGCCCAGATGCCTTGACACCCCCCCCCCCCTCCAAGTTGGCATTTCAAAATTGGGATGGAGCCGCCCTTTCTACTAGCAAAATCACTTACGTCCCCAGAGGAAACCGAGGCGGCTCGGAGCCTGCGCAGGCGGGGGGAGTAAATCCAGTACCTTCCATCTGTGAACTAGACAGGGCACATCCAAAGGCGAATGAGAAGGGAAGGAGGCAGACGGAAGAAAAGAAAAAGGAAGGAGAGGAGAAAGGATGAACAAAAGATAAGAAATGACCATGTCGGTGGAAAAGGTTAAGCGTGCACAAGCATGAGTTGGGGGGAAACCCGGTGAAGAAAACATGCTTTGAAAACAGATGGATGTTGTGAGAACTTGGCTGCCACGGGGGAAAAAAGTGTGTGTTTCCGCTACCACAGGCTTTCTTTCCATGGATACAAACAGAGGGCCAAAATACTCTGCATTCTGCAAACTCTTCTAAGGTTCGGGGGAAGTCATGCTCTTAATCATTTGCAAAGCACTTTCTGGTCCTGCTACCTTGAGTTTTGTTTTCGGAGGGACAAATAAACATTGGTCCAGTGGGCTCAGAGCCAGAGAAAGGAAATAAGCCAAGCTCTGACTCACTTGATTGACACAGCAAATCCACAAACGCTACTGCTCCAAAACTGAATACTGTACAAGTAGTCCTCGACGTACGACCATAATTGGGACCAAAATTTCCACTTCTAAGCAAGTTGTTCAGAGAAGTCTGCCCAATTTTAAATTCTGTTTTGCCCCAGCTGTTAAGTGAACCACTAATTCGTTAAGCAAATCCAGCTATCCCCCATTGACTCTGCTCATCAGAAGCCGGCTGGGACAGTCATGAATGGTGATCACATGATTCCAGGATGCTGCAGCCATCATAAATACATGCCAGTTGCCAAGGGCCCAAATTATTGATCACGTGACTGACCATGGGGATGCTATGATGGTCATTAAATGCAAGGACCGGTCATTAAGTCTCTTTTTTTCCGGTGCTCTTATAGCTTTGAATAGTCACTAAATGAATAGCTGTAAGTCAAGGATTACATGTAAGGCAGGGCTGTCAAACTCGTGCGTCACATGCTGGCCACGCCCAAGCCCAGTTTAGTGAAGGGGGGGGGGAGTCCCAATACGTCACGGGATGCCGCCATGACAACGTGAGTTTGACACTCCTGGTGTAAGGCATTCAGTTATAATAATCATTTCAGACAGGGGGGTTGCCTTCTCAGGATTACAAGAGTTGGTAATGCAAACATAACACATAAGATTGGGGTATTTAAATCAGCCTTGTGTCTACTTTTGGGTTAAATCAGCCTGAGTTTGCATTTGGTTACGGATTTTGTCTTTTAAAGCAAGTATGGGACACTCTGCATGTAAGAAATCAAAGCACTCAGTCAGATCTGGGAAGAGAGAATGAGAGGAGAACTAACACACACCTCAAACCAAGTCAAATGCAAAGCTTCTTCACACGCATTTCCATGAATACATGCGCTTGAAACGCAATCCAAACCATCATTCACAAGGCAATTCTTCCTGTGTCTTATTACAAGAAACTACATGAAGCATGGGGGCATCTTATACATGGAGGCGTCTTATACATGGAAAAATATGGTAGTTGGGAAATAGATGCACTCCTCCCTGCAAGTTGTTTTTGACACAGCTACGTCTTGGGGATACAGGTAGTCCTTGACTTACAACCATTCATTTAGTGACTGTTCAAAGTTACAACAGCACTAAAAACAGTGACTTATGACCGGTTTTCATATGACCATTGCAGCATCTCCATGGTCATGTCATCAAAATTTGGGTGCTTGGAAACTGACATGCATTTGTGGCAATTGCGCTATCCTGGGGGTCATATGATCACCATTTGTAACCTTCCCAAGCTGGCTTCCCAGCCAGATTCAGTTAACAACTGCATGATTTACTTATCAACTGCACTGATTTGCTTAACTACTATGGCAAAACAGCTCAACAGATGGAGCAGAACTCACTTACCAACTCTCTTGCTTAATTAGAGAAATGCTAGGCTCAATTGTGGTCGTAAATTGAGGACTACCCGTACACTGGCTTCAATCAAAGGTAGGACGAATTTGTGTAAAAAAACAAACAAACAATGTTCTTGCTGAAACCCACCACATTTCCTTTTAGCCAAGATTCTCACGCTTGACTTCAAAGGAGACTTAACAAGGTTGAACACTAGTTTCTGGGAAAAATGGAGAGCTTCTTGACACAATTTTGAGGTTTCGCATACAGAATCTAGCACAGCATGGTTGCACACACACCACACCACACACACTCCTTGGCTCACTTACTCCCTGCTCTGCCTCCCTAGATTTCCTCCTCTGAACATGTTCCTGCCTGCAGGGAAAAAAGGAAATGCCATGGAGAAGCCCAGCGGGACACATTTCTACCTATTTCAAGGGGAACCTCGAGGTTTTCCGGGTGGTTTCTCTGGCAACCTGGCAGAAAAAAGAGCATGAATGCAAAGAGGTAAATGTGCATCAGGGTGAACAAGACAAGACAGTACCTCGGTGCGGGTGTGTTGGTTTGTTTTAAGTCTTCAGAAGGGAAGAGTGGAGCAAGTGAAGTGGAAAAGCAGCGGAAGGAAAGAAGGAGAGAAGAGCCAAACCAACCGCAGCTTTGTGCACAAAAAAAGCGAAAAGGGGGCTTACAAAATAGATATCCGGGATCGGGAGCTCCTCTTCATCCGAAGCTTGGCTGGCAGGTTCAGAGGCCTGGCTTGCTGTCTCAACCTCCACTGCCGCTGCTGCCGACAGCATGGTGGCACACGCTAAGGACGCTGCCTCTCTGCAAAGAAAGATAGATGGGTGAGGATGGAGGCCGTGGTGGTGCTCGGCGCTCCTGCTGAGTGTCTTCAGACAACCCTCAAAAAAGCATCCCACGGTCCCACCTCGAAGCGGGGAATAAGCCAAGACCAGTTGTCTGAATTGGCTCTGGGTCAACCCTGAAGCTGGCCTGACCGAAGCCATTGTGAGGCTTCAGTGTTGCCACACTAGAGCGGAGGGTTAGGGAATGAGGAATAGAGATAGTTGGGCTTTTTTGTAGCCAAAACAAAATACTTTCCCTTGGGAACCAAGGACATTCTCACACTTGGTCAGAGAGGAGTGATGTTACTGGGCAACTGGACAGCACCTCAATTGGACCATGTGACTGATCGTTTGGGGAAAGGGAAAAAACTTTTACTTTTTTTCCCCAGTCCATCTTTTTATTTATTTTTTGAAAAATTCCTGACATTACAGAATTAAACTGAAATGTATTAATTCCACTCTTAAAAGGGAAAAACTTTTAACCAGATGAAAACCGCAGGAATTTTCAGAGTCGGCTTTCACCAGAACTGGGCCAATAGGATTTATCCAATAAAAGTATTCTTTGAGGAATTTACCTGCCTTGGAGTTTTGTTCGCTAGGGGGGAATTGCTTGGAACGCCGACACTCTGATCACTGGCTGAACAGCAACCCTACAATTGGACTACTGCAATGCCCTCTACAAGGGGCAGCCATTGAAGAGCATCCGGACGCCTCAACTGGTAGCAGGGGTTGTTAATGGTGCTGGTCATTTGGCACGTCACTACTCATGGAGCTACAGTGGCTGCCAGTGTGCTTCCGGGTGCAACTGAAGGTGTCATTTTGAAAGGCCTTCATGGCTCGGGACTAGGTATCCCCTTGAGCAGGGGTGAAATTCAGTAGGTTCTAGAAAAACGGTAGTGGAAATTTTGAGTAGTTCAGAGAATCAGCAAATACCACTTCTGGCTGGCCCCAGAGTGGGGAGGTAATGGAGATTTTGCAATGTCCTTCCCACAGGAGTGGGGAGGGAATGGAGATTTTGCAA